GATCCGGTGCACACGAGCGGCACGCGACATTTTGCAGTCGCGTCGATTTGACGCCGCTTTTGGACAGTAGATTAATTTACATGAACCAGTTTACACGTGACTTAGTTAGCGGCGGCAACTTTATGTCCTGTTTGCGTCAATTTTGGAGCTGCAGCAGTAGTGATACGAGCGATCAAATAATCTTAAGAATGAATAATTATCTAATTTTAATAATCTTTTTGATTACTTAAAGGAGCATTTAATACTATGTTTTCCGATTTAAGGGAGGATGAGGTCAAATTTGGTAATTACTTTAGAACGAGTGTGAAGTCGTTAGATGAACTATATATAAAAATTAATAAAAACGTAGAATTTCAAAACACAGCAATGAGGCTTATTATGCCACCACCACTTGAAATTATTGCAGTTACATTAAGTATAAGTATAATATTAAGTATAATATTTGTTTTTTTTTTTAAATATGGACAAAAACAGTATACCATATTTTCTAAATAATAGAAGGCTAATGAACTTATAATAAATGAAGGAACTAATAATAATTAACAAAAAATATCAAGATATATGAAACAGAAATAAAAAGAAATAATGAAGAAGTGGAATAATAAACTTACACGTTTTTTCTGATCTTTGGATAACATATAAAATTACTATTTAAAATTGAATTTTCTGATCTATATTAAAAGTCTATAATTGGAAGTAGTGATTGTAGAAATATTAAATCTTCATGCGGCTTTTGTCATGTTCCTGTTGTTGTCATAAATTTAATCGTCATGTCTTTTGAGAGTCGTTTTCGTTTTGATGCTAAGGCAATATTGCTTGTTCATACTATAAATGACGCATACCGGATATATGAATTGCTTAAGAAAAATAATTGACTGCTATGATATTAGCGTCACATTTGCGAATTGCAATACCTGTGTTCATTTTCGAAATCGCAAAATAGCCGTGGATTTGACGCCGAAACCTGCATCAAGTGCACGGTCACAGCCGACTCTAGTACTAGCGATGCTGAACAATGTGGCAACACCGCTCATGGAGGATTCGGGAGTCCTATTTTCAATAGTAGAGTTTTGTGCTCAATGTTATAATTAACGTTATTTTTTATATAAAAACATACTAATACACAGTATTTTTTATTAATTATGCATGAGGAATACATAAATACCATAACTATAGTAAGTAGAAGTAATATAGAAGTATATTAATATTTATAAATGTGGTATATATTTTGTGGACACTCGGAATAGTTTGGTGTTGTGATGCAGTATATTTGAAATATTTACAGTGGTATCAAGAAAATATAAGAGAGAAGCATGATAAAATCATCTGTGAACCAAATTGAAGTATTTAAAAATTGATAAAGGTATATGTAAGTTAATAGAAACCTGAAATAGACAAAATTATTTGTACGATGCCAAACAGGTTAAGGGACATGTGAAAAGAGGTTAAGATAATTCGCTATTGAAAGGAACAATTATGCAGTTAATTATGAAGTCGTGTTACAGAGCAGTTTATTATTTACAGTTTTCACATAATCAGTTCATAAAATATTCGAAAAAATTGACAAAAATTGAAACAAAATAATTAACGCACGGTCGTATGGAGTTTAGCTAAAAGATGTTTTAAAAGTGAGAAAAGGCGCATGCGTCACAGGGATATACAGTGTAGGACAATAACTATTACTACCTGAGATATCTTGGAAACTATAAGGTTCAAAGAAATATTTGTTTAACCAAAATTGCACAGTACGAAGAGAGCCACCCGAAGGCGTTAATAGTTTTTTTTTTGTAGGTGGAAGTATTTTGAATATTTCAAGGTCAACTCCATTTTTTTAAATGAATCCGTATGATTTTGTTACTGTAGAATGATAGAGGAGCTTAGAACAAGTTCAACGACCTATTACATAAGGTCATTGAAGGTCACAGAAAGTAGAGAAAAGCGATAATGCTTACGATTTACTTCACTGAAAATAAACACTGTTTGAAGGACACTTTTATACGTTTGCAGGGACAATGGTCTGTGAACGTATGGTGCGGTATCACAGATGATGAAATTATTGGTCCTCATTTTATTAATGGAAATTTGAATGGCAACATCTACGCTAATTTTATTAAGGACACATTGGGTTATTTGCTAGAAGAATTGCCTTCATTTACACGACAAACCATGTGGTATCAACATGATGGATGCCCAGCACATTATTCATTGATTGCGCGAAGGGAACTTGATGCAAAATTTCAAAATCGTTGGATTGGACGCGGCGGTCCAATATCGTGGCCAGCTCATTCACCAGAGTTGACACCTCTACATTTATTTCTATAGAGAACATTGAAAAATAAAGTGAACAAAAAAGTACCAACTATACCTCAAGACATGCAACAGCGAATTATTACAGCCTGTGCGTCAGTAAGTTCTGACGTTATAAAATTTGCAGTTCAATCAGTCATAAAAAGAATCCAGTGTTGCATTGATGGTGATGGTCATCATTTCGAATACCAACTATGATCTTATGTAATAGGTGGCTGAACTCCTGTTAGGTTGCTCTATCATTATACTGTTACGAGCCCGGGCCGTAGCAACGCGAGAGGCCGGCGAATTTAGGTTTTCTAAGGAATATGGTATCAGTTTATTAGTAAGGTGCGCGGACGAATCTGACGCGAAGCCAGAGAGCCGTTAAGATGTTTGAAAACGAGGACAATCTGATGCGAAATCAGGGAGCTGTTAGGATGCGGACGAATCTGATGCGAAATCAGGGAGCCGCAGGATTGGCCAAGTTTCGGGGACGAATCCGATGCGAAATCGGAAAGCCACTGGGTTGGAAATATTCTTGGAAAAATGTAATGTACGGACGAACCTGATGCGAAATCAGGAAGTCGTTAGGAAATGTTAGTTAGTGCCTCGTAACCTTTGAATTTATAATTAATACAACTCGAACGGTAAAGTTGTAGTAGTGTGGGAACGGTCGACCTGATATTATTTTAAACTAGAGGAAACTAGTATATCGATAATACTACAGATTTCTGGATCGTGTTATGGATTAAAAATGAACTACACAGATTTATAAAATAACAGTATAATTAATCTGTCTTTCGTTACAAATGTGTTGTGTAGTGTTGTCGCGTAGTAGTAAGTAATAATGAAATAATAACTATTACCGAAACAAATAGGTGCTCGGTGTTAACGCATTGGCGATGCGGGGGTTGCGAGTGGATTTTACGGAATAATGCCGAAGTAATTCTAGTCGGAATACAAATAAAGTGTTCACGGTTTACTACAAGGTTAACTGGATTCGAAAGGGAACTTTAGCCCGATCTCTCTAACGTAATGACCAACTCACAAGAACGTGACGCGATGTGACTCTAAAGGTGACGGTACAGTTCTGATCCCCCGAGGGTTGAAACCAACGGGTTTATATAGGCCTAGAAATTGGTGGGGATGCTATGAAATTTCCATATAAGGACATTTTTGACAGTTGAAGTTGCGTCACGCTTCCTAGTTTTTTGGTTAAGACGCCGTGGGAACGGGTTTTACTCCCTCGCTTACTCAAGACATAACGAAACCATAAGGGCGTTTTCCTTCGCCGGGTGCGAACTCAGACTATTAGAGCGAGAGGTATGATAGAAAATTCTTCATACGTAACAATACGGAAACAAAAACATACCGATTCATTTTAAAAAATGGAGATAACCTTGAAATATTCAAAGTACCCGCAACAAACTATTAATGCCATCGGATGGCTCTCTTTGTACTGTGCAATTTTGGTTAAACAAATATTTCTGTAAATCTTATAATTTCGAAGATGTCTGAGGTGGTAGTACTTATTGCCCCACCCTGTATGTATATCATTAAAGACTACAACATATTAGAGTGTCAACAAAATCCTAAATGTTACTCCAAAAAGTGTCTGATTTCGCATGGAATGTCCCAAAATCGATAAAAAAAAAAGTTAAAATTCAATGTTATTCAACATAATATCTGAAACATTTATCTCCAAACTGTACAGAGCTTTGAAGTATTATTATTAAATCAGAAGTACATATTTCTTTTTTATTCTGTAAATTCGAACTGTTTCAAGTGCTGGTTGTCCAATCAAGGCTCTACGTTTCACCTGTTACTCATTGGCCTAACTAGGTAGGGGCTAGGGTGGGCCTGTAATGACTCTCCGCCCCCCGCACGAGTACTTCACTTCCTACATGTGGCCCGGGCCTTAAAAAGTTGGGAGAAATATTCTCCTCGCTTAATGCCCACGGTAGTCTCAATTGCGAGACTATGTGATACCCACCGGCGCCAAAGTCAAGGCTGGGCCTTGGAGGGGAGTATTGAAATTCCCCTCTCCCGAGTGACAACCTTCTAAACTAAACTAAACTAGGATGGGTCTGCCCCCCCCCCCGTCCAGAATACAGACTGATCCCCCCGTCCAAAAATTACTCAAAAATGAAAAAAAAAACATTCGTCAGTTACTAAAATCTTCTGTTATAAAAAATAAATAGTTGAGCCGAAATGCAATACATAACGCAACTAAATACAAAAAATACAATACTATCCTCATTACATGAAAGTATTAAGTAAAATTGTATTAGAATTAAGCTCTTTAATTGTAAAATTCTACTGTAACTAATAATCCTGTAACATAAATTGAAGGGCCCGCGGATGTAATAAGGGGACTAGCGCTTGAAAATGCGAAAAATATTTTTGCAGAAAAAACCAGCAAATTGAAGCTTATATATGATAGATTACTCATGCTTTGAACAATATCAATTTATTTTATTTTCAAGAATTATGATTATATCTTTTTATTCTTAGTTTTGGTGTTAAACACATATGTAAATAATTATTGTAAAATGCGTAACTTTATTTTCTGCAACCCACGTATATGGCATACTCAGGTATACAATACGTACAGATGCCTGATGGCAAGTCAGGGGACCTGGCCCCGTTCAGACAAAAATCCCTAGTTCCGCCAATGCTGTTACTCATATAACGAAGAAGATGGAACTCACCCATGGCGAGAAAGACTTTCAGTTGATGGCTGCACAGACGTGGTTACGGACATGTTGTTGTCACGTGTTACAACTGAAACAGAAACAGACCAGGCGATAATTAGCAACGTGAATCGGAAGAATCAAACATATATGACAGAGGAATCCGAGAAAGAATTCCCCGTAAACAAGATCCTCAAACTGGGAATCCCCTCACGTGTAGCATTATTTCAAAGTCGATGGACGACGATATATGTCGCCCGCGAATGCCAACTTCGAAGGACGTCTATAATAAGTTTTACCGTGGATCTCAACTTATTAGATACGAAACGATCGTTTTTACTTTTTCCGTGGGACGAAAGCCGCGGCACAACCGTCGGACACGTTCTGAATATTTTACTTCGATGAATCCGAGTGACCACCGTCGTAACTGATTGTGCAATCATTGGACGGCTTGCCTCGTAAGAGGAGTTCCGTGATCAATTGATAAAGCGAGAAATGCGCAACTAGACTTGGGCTGGTATATTGGGTGTCCCACCTAACTATACCATCCTTAATTATTCTCTTATTTGTCACGGTACAAAAAAATGGTTCGAGGGAAAGTAAGTGTATTTTAGGGGGGAAATAAGGCTATGAGATTGAAGGTCATCACAAGATCATATCTTCTGAGCTTTATCTAATGGTAACGTTTTTTAAATGGAATGCCCTATTTTTTTGTCTGCTATTACAAAGAGAAGATCAAAACATATCCAACAATGTATCACGCTATGACCTTCAAATGACCTTACGCCGAAAATTACGTACGTAACTGGTTGAGGTGGAAGCTCACAGAAAATAAATTGCAGAAACAAAATAAACGCCATAATCGCATTATTTATTATTTTAGTGTATGTTCAAAGTGTTGTCACTTCACAGTGTGATACATTGTTGGATACGTTTTGATTTCCTCTTTGTAATGGCAAACAAGAAACTAGGGCATTCCATTTAAAAAAACGTTACCATTAGAGAAATCTCAGAAGATATGACCTTGAGATGACCAATCTCGTAGTCTACTGTCCCCCCTAAAATACACTAACCTTTTCTGGAACCATTTTTTTGTACCGTGACAAATAAGAGAATAAATACCCCTGTATTTTATAAGTTTACCCGAACGGAACAATGCGATCGATTTATTGCTAGATATTTGCTCCGAAGATTCTTGTTACACGTGGGCTGAACAATTTTATTTACGGGACGAGCGGCAACAGTTATTTGGATTTCAGTAAGTAGCAATAGTTCTTGTCTCTTTTTAAAGCGGTAAAAGGTATTTAAGACTGAATTCATACTGCTTCATCAGTTCTATGCATGAGGTTTTTGTACATCGGCATTTGATTCTGAAGTTTGTTTCCTCGGACGGTTATTATTCTGTGCAAAAGAAACTAAGGTGAATGAAGTTTTATGGAGGCGATGATTATAAAATGAGATCCCCGGTGTCGACATAAGGTCGTGAGAGAATGTCAAGGATTTCATCATTGACACATTCTAAGTGCATTGTAGACTTCATTATCAAGCGGCCATGCGAAAACCTTGGTGTATTATTAGAAAAGAAAAGCAAGGTAAAAAACTGATACACGATATCAGATGGTCTTGGACGAAGTACGTATTTCCGTTATCTCGTACTAATTACTGTAAAAGTGATTGGTATGTTGGAAACGCTGAAAAATTAATTGGAATTTCGGATTGTAAATGGTGATGCGAGTTTATAAAATGTAGTGGGTCAAAAAAGTATTCGTCCACCATTTAAAACAGAACAACTCTTTCAAAGTTGGAGCAAGTGACTTGAGTTTCTTTGTGCAGTTAGAAGGATTAGTGTATTAAATGATGTGTTCACAAAATGTTGAAAAAGTTGCAATTGGTCGGAATCGCGAAGA